AGACTCTGAGCTCTGTTTTATCTGCATGTAAACACAGTTACTAAAGCATCTTTTTATCATTTGAGAAATGTCACTAAAGTTCGGCCTTTTCTGTCTCAGAGCGACGCAGAGAAACTTGTTCACGCATTTGTTACAAGCAGAGTTGATCACTGTAATGATCTTCTCACTGGAGAAAACAATATATGCTTTACAACTTGTACACAATCTGGCAGCATCCTAACAAAAACTAAACAGAGATCAGATCACTCCCGATTTAAAAGAGCTGCACTGGCTCTCTGTATTATTCAGGATAGATTTTAAAGCTCTGCTACTAGTTTTTAAGGCTCTAAATGACATTAAAGCACTGCTTACATCACAGTGTGTCTGTCTGTTTATGATCTTAGATCTGCAGATACTGACCTTCTACAAACACCTTCTGTAAAATACAGAAAACGTGGAGAGACTCGTTCTGTTATTCTGCTTCTAAACTGTGGAGCTCAGTTCACCTTTCATTAGACAGTCAAGCTCAGAGCTCACTTTTAAAAAGCATCTAAAAACGCAGCTCTTTAACTCAGCATTTAATTAAAACTCTACATCTTTTTCTTATATGACACTCATAGTTTCTTCTAACACTGTCAGGCTTTATCACTTGTCGGTATGACAAGAGCTCTATAATAAAGATATTATTATTATTATTATTATTATTATCATTAATAATAATTATAATAATAATAAATAACATCACACATAACATTACACAATCCAAGAGTGTGAATCACACCGAGATATATTATATTGCACAATTATCTGCCTTATGTAATATAAAATTATATATTAATATATATTGAATGTGTCAAATAAAGCATTCTGAGGGTGTGAATGTTTCCTGGCATATTTCTGGATGTGTTTCAGAGCTAGATGCGACACCACAGGCGTCAATCATTTGAATGCAACAAGCCAGAGTGTATTGTCTGAAAATAAACCAGTTCTGAAGGCGTGAAGAGACGTGGGCAATACGAATAATAATGAGAACACTGGCAGTCCTTCACAGCCTCGAAGACCGTTTTAATTAGAGAATACCAGCCAACATAAGAGGCTTTATATGGGAGATTTTGAGGGAGTCAATTGTTATAATTTCTTTGTTATGGTGAATAGGATACACAAATGGTGTAAAGGACATCTATGAATGTGGCTCCCCCTAGTGCTTAAAGGTTGTTAGCATGCAGCGTACTGTGCTGTAACTGTGAGGGCTTCAACAGCAAGAGCATCCAACTAAGTTTCACTGAAATGAATGAATGAGGAGTGAGCACAAAAAGCCTTCTGTCAAAGAGCCCCATGCTTGTATATCAGGAATGAGCAAATTCTCACAAGCCTCAGAACTGGTCCCCACATAATGGTCACAAGATGACCAATTACATTTACGGCATTTGGCAGACAATTTGATCATTTTACACAGGTAGGTGATGGTAGTGTTAGGGGTCTTGCCCAAGGACTCTTACTGGTGTAGTGTAGGGTGCACAACCAGGCAGGGATTGAACCCCAGTCTACAGCGTAGAAGGCAGAGGTGCTACCCATTACACTATACCAACCAACCAACCACCACCTTTGGTACACAGTTCATAGGTCAAGTTACACGAGTATCCCAGGTTACAGTATTACTATCAAGTTTGGACTAAAGCAATGATTTGGACAAAAATCTAATTTACACAATTTTCCTACCTTAAATGTAGATGATCAGCCAATAAGTGCCTTTCATTAGTACTGCACTGGAGCTGCAAGGCTACAGTATTATGCAAAAGTCAGAGACCACCCTTCATATTTTTAATTTCGAGTATCTGATTACATTCCCTATCTGAAAGTTTAAGTCCGTTCTGATCATGTTCGTCGGATCATAGTGAAAGTTTATACCGTTCAACGTGGCGGAGCAGAAACTGGTCTGCAGAGGAGACGAAGTTTATGCTCTGATCTTTAAAAGACGGCGGTGGGACGGACGTCCAGCTTATGTGTCTCAGAACGCGACGTCTTCCTCTCGGCCTTCTTTAATAAGGACATGTGAAGGACGTTTTCCTGAGTCTGACGTCATTTTAAAGTAATTAAAAACACAAGCGCTGCTCACTGCTGCTCATCTCACTCTGACTGGACTCACGTGATGCTGGTTGTCATGGTAACATTTACACTACATTTACATTTTAGATCAGATTAATTGTTGTGTGCTTGTATCAGAGATTTTCCATCAGATTGTTCAGTAGAGTGAGAATAAATACCTCAGTCTGAATCTATAATCGGAATGTATTCAATCGGATTGGCAAAAGTGTTTGCATGTAAACACAGCCAGTGTATGACGGGGTGCTCAACTCCAGTGCAGTCTTGTCATCTCCCTGTTCAAACACACCTGATCTGTTCATTTGGTTTAGTGGTTGTGTTTGAGTAGGACACTTCCCAAACTGTGCTGGACAGTGACCCTCCAGGACCGGAGTTGAATACCCCTGCTGGCATATTGTTATTCAGGTTTTAATTTAGCTGTTATTACTCAGCTATATAAGTACACTTCAAACACCAAACATGTCTTGGCTGATCAAATAAATCTGCAATAAAGGGGGAATTTGTGTAAATTAGATATTTTACCAAATTGTTGCCTGAACTCTTCATTGTATACAGCGCCTGCAAAATTGCTGAACCCAAACGAATACGTGTGATTGGAACTGCTCCAGTTGTCGCTCGTCTCACTGCAAAACCGCACGTGTGAATGTTCTCACATGCACTAAAGGCTCGGATACATCTGGCCTTCAGTGTGGTCAGCTGTCACACCCACACAAGCTTTCCAGAAATGACATTATTAAGCAGGAGCGACGAGGCTGAAATAATGAACCTGATGACACAGAGCTGAGGGAACGGCGTGTAGGAGAGGAGGAACAGGGATGGAGAGAGGAGAGAGGACAAAGAGAGAACACAGCGAGTTGCCAGGGTATTAGGTACCTCGTGCCTTCAGTCAAAGCTCACTTTATCACCAATTTAATACTGACCATATAGATGCACGCTGTAGGTTCACAAGTGCTAACTGTAGCCCATCTGTTGTGGCACAATTTATCAGCCCCCTCTACAATGTCCATCAATAAAAATGGACCATTAAAGGTCTGTGAAAAGTGGGAAGTAATAGTGCAGTGTGGGGAAAAAAAACAGAATGATTCACCACCCAAATAATATTTGGTCTGGTAGTTCTAAGGTGTTTTTCCATTAGTGGATGACGTGAGGGGAGCTGATAAACTGTGCAGCAACAGGTGGGTGTATTTACACTTAGCCACAAGGTCTCTTGGGCAGATTTGATAACCATCTGATCGTGAAAATGTAACTGCAAGACAAACTGGAGTCAGATTGTTATCTACTGCCTCAGACACTTCAATAGCTGAGGTGAGCCAAGTGTAAGAGTATCTGTTTCTCTCAGCTTCCAAGGCAATCCGTACTCCTGAACTATGTCAGGATGAAAAAACAAAAGCATATGACAGCTCTTATGGCCTTTAACCGCATTTCTAGTTTCTATAGAAAAAATGAAAAGTCAGCTCAACTGAAAAAATTATATAGTAACTGATCACATGGCTTTTCTTGAGTTGACTCAACTTGAGGACGCCAGAGTTCACACAACTCAAACTTCTTAGTTGAGTAAAATTCTCCCAGCTACTGTTTCCAGCTCTGCATCTCAGTTAGATAAACAAAACTGAATTTAGTCAGTTCCCCCACCAGCTGGCGCTCCATCTATCACACAGTCCCATCTGGCATATTGAACTATTAGACAGCTGCACCATATGAGACTGTACCATGCTTAAAAGTTAAAACAATAAATATTTTCTCCAGTGTTTTAAACATTTGTAGACACAAACTTTGAGCTGCTTCATGTGTTCCTGAGTGGTGCAGTGGACTAAGCCGTCACCCCAACAAGAAGTTTGAGCCCCAGTGATGCCACAGCCATTCATAAGTGTTTACCCAAGAGGAAAAATGTCCAGCAGGATTGTGTGATTGAGAGAGTCCTGGCTAGTGGGGAAGATAAGTATAAAAAAAAATTCAATTTTTTTACCATACCTGAGATGCAGAACTAAGCAATTAAGAGAATTTTTGACTCAACTAAGAAGTTTGAGTTGTGTTGAGTTGTGTTGTCTTCAAGTTGAGTCAACTCAAGAAAAGCCATGTAATCAGTTACATCATCATTTTGAGTTGAGCTGACCTCTCATTTTTAACAGTGTAGGTCTGACAAAATGCATTATAATTATAATTATAATGCTATATAGAATGAAATCACTGTGGTGCACTGCATCATCCAAGAAGATTCCAGCAGAAAATTCCTTGGATTTGCATAATGTGAGGAAAACAGCCAGTAGGATTTCTGTCTGTCTAACAAAGGCATGTTTTAGTGCTAAGGTATACATGTAAAGCCCATTTTACACCAGGCATGGTAACCACACCACACGCCTTGCTGGGAGCGAAAAGCTCCTATGTTAATCAATGTAGTCTGCACGTGAAGCGCAAAAATTGGTTCTATTTGAGTCTATTTTTGATGCTTGCCGCACGCAGCATGCTCACAATTTCTAGAAAGAAACAGTACAAAATTCTGTATTTTTGCTATAGTGTGCCATCTAGGCCCATAATCAAAACAGCAGAGTGCTTAATTTTAAAACTTTGAGAGTCTGTTAAAATGCTGGAAATAAATAAGGAACAAGCCAATCAAAGCCTCTTTCTACAGCTATATCTATGCTCGAATTTAATTTACATAAAGTTTATTCAACTTGTAAATGGAATTTGCAGGTTATACTAACGGCTGCTAACGACTATTATATACGGCTGGAAAACAGTCTTTGCTTTATCAACGCAATGCATGTGACTTTCGCCCCATGCGAACGCAAGTGTTGCCAAACAGTTTAGGCTTGCCGTGCAAGTCTGGTGTAAAATCCGCTTAACATGGCTAAATCTTATCTGGACATTATGTGGACATATGAAATGACCAGTGTAAACATGGTCAAAGGGTCACTCACTTGGCCAACTTCATTTCTATCTGCTGGCGGATCTCCTGGCGCTCCTGGTCGCTGCGGACAGGGAAGATGTTTCTCTCCTCCAGCTCCTGCTTGCTGGGTCTGTTGCGCAGCTTCACGGCCAGCAGTTCTTTCCTTATCCGCCGCGGCAGTGTCCCTGCAACACACACACACACACGCACACGCACACATTAACTAACGGTGTCAAATAACTGACCACCAGAAACCCAATAACCCACAACAGAACAATGTCTATATTTCCATCCTGCAAATTAAGGGAGAGTGAATGGAAACAGCTCCTGTTGATTAAGTAGATTAACCATTTAGGCTCCACTGTCCACATCCCAAGGCTCTTTAGTCAGCACCTACATGGAAAACATCACACCATGACTAAGTTATTACTAAGTTAAAGAGTGAGGAATGGAAGATCTTTAATGTTAAGGGCTTACACTGATCAGGCATAACATTATGACCACCTCCTCGTTTCTACGCTCATTGTCCATTTTATCAGCTCCACTTACTATATAGGTGCACTTTGTAGTTCTACAGTTACAGACTGTAGTCCAGCTGTTTCTCTGCATACTTTGTTAGCCCCCTTTTACCCTGTTCTTCAGTGGTCAGGACCCCCATGGACCCTCACAGAGCAGGTACTATTTGGGTGGTGGATCATTCTCAGCACTGCAGTAACACTGACGTGGTGGTGGTGTGTTAGTGTGTGTTGTGCTGGCCTGAGTGGATCAGACACAGCAGTGCTGCTGGAGTTTTTAAACACCTCAGTGTCACTGCTGGACTGAGAATAGTCCACCAACCAAAAATATCCAGCCAACAGCGTCCTGTGGGCAGCGTCCTGTGACCACTGATGAAGGACTGGAGGATGACCAACACAAACAGTGCAGCAGCAGATGAGCTATCGTCTCTGACTTTACACCTACAAGGTGGACTGACAAGGTAGGAGTGTCCAAGAGAGTGGACAGTGAGTGGACACAGTGTTTAAAACTCCAGCAGCACTGCTGTGTCTGATCCACTCATACCAGCACAACGCACACTAAAACACCACCACCATGACAACGAAATAAAATAAAAGTTTACTGTACTACATAAACAATGCTAAAGTTTCAAAACATACTGTTCGCACCTCAGTTCATACAGTCCATACATGGAAATTGAGTTGCAAAAACAGCTTGTTTTTAAAGTTAAAGTGTTTAGTTATGAGGAGTGAATTAGCCTAGACTGCTTTTTGGATAGGGCACAATATAACGCAGCTCTGTTCTAATTAGAACAGAGGTAATTTACAAATATTAGTCTAAACCTTATATTGCACAATGTTGCCTCAAGGCAGCAAACTCATTTTCCTCACTTTACAATAACGTTATACATATTTAAAGACAACGAAAGCGTTAACAACAAAGGGAAAAGTTTGAGTGAGTCAACAAAAAGCATGTGCCTAGTCATAATATCTCTTGGTGGGCACTTTTAAACCTGTTTTTTAATGTTCAGTATCAATATTTTTGTTATAAGCATTTGCAGAATTTTTTTTGTCGCCTAGAAGCAACACTGTGCGACAGTGGTATGGATTTAGCCAGTCGCAAGCCAGGTCTCACCATTTCAGGGAACACAGAGTTATATAATTTCTTCTAATTGTCGCACAATGTTGCCTCAAGGCAACATACTCCAAAAAGACCCCCTGCACAATTTATTTATTTATTTAGTTATTTATTTTTGTTTTTGAATTTAATAATCGGGTCTGAAAAAATTATTCAAGAATCATTTTTTTTGCAAGAAAAGTGGATTGAGTATTTTTTTTAATTGCTTTCATAATGTGTGGAGTAGAAGGTTAAAGATCTACAGTCTATTCTAAGGCAGAAAAAGTGGTTTGAAAAGGGTGGGGTAAAAAATAATGACTGTTTTTGGTACAGAAACCCCACACAAACATCATAAACTGACATCAAAGAAAAAAATAAAATACTGTAAGAGTAAAATAGTTACTAAGTAAGAAAGATTATGTGCAAGAGGAAAAAGTCTCTCTCTTTCCTGACCCATATGTGATAACAGCAGGCTGCAGAAGATGCACCAGATGTTGCTGATAAATCTATTTTGAAGGAACAAACTCTCTTCAGGAAGATGTGTTCTCTTATTCAAAAGGACTTTCAGGTCTTCTCCGGAGACCAACACACCGAGCTTTAAAAGCTGCAGTGGCCAAACAGTCCAGCAGTAAACGTCATCTGAGATTTTGTTCTTGTGACCTGACACAAAAAGTGTTGAAGGGTCTATACCACACAATTTCCGCTAATGTCTGTCATTTTAAGCACGATAAAGAGTCAGAATTCATTTTTACATGAATACATTCTAATCTTTGTTTGTGTCTTTAAATAGGCCATAACATGAGAAATCAAATCAAATTTTCAAGAGTTGAAAGAGTTTGAGGTATTATGTAAACATTGTTAAAGCTTTAAATGTCCCATTCAATCCCTGGTCCATAAAGTCTATATATAGAACGAACAACCCATTTTAAATTCATTGTTTCTCTGATGTCACAAAAACCAACTCATTTACATACATTCAGCCATCCATTCACAGTGAAGCTGTAAAGAGTGTTTCAGCTCTGAGTGCTTTTTAAATGAGGCACAATACAGAGCAGCCAATCAGAACAGAGTTAATTTACATAAAACAGTCGTAAAGGCAGTGATAAAATACACACACACACACACACACACACACACACATACTTTCTAAACCGCTTATCCTTCTGGGTCGTGGGTAATTAAAACAGACTGTTTAATTCTAATAGATTCTAAAGTGAGGTTGGAAAACAGTAATGTAAAATGAATTATGACCACGTTTTGGTAAATAAAACCTCAAAAATGTTATAAGTGGACCTGAAAGCAAATCATAAAACACAAGAAAAAAACCGTAGGATAAGGTCCCTTGAAGACTGATATATCACTGTTGTCGGAACAAAACCTCGTATCTCCAAAATGGTGACTTTACAGGAGAAGGAAAAAACTTACTTTACTTTTAACGTAAGTCAATGGAACCAGATATTTTCATTTTGGGCCGTTTCTTTTGGCCCATTCTTCATGAAATTTACACACAATGTAACGAACAACAGGTATTTTCAAACTTTGATAAAAACTGTAAAATGGAGATACGAGGTTTTGTTCCGACAACAGCGATATGTAAGTAATCTCTGTTCTGATTGGATGTCCTGCCTCATTAAAAAGTCCAGACCGAAACACTCTTTTTAACTGCGACGTGAATGGACGAGGCTATATAGATATACGTAAATGCTTCGATTTAATGACATCACAAAAATAGTGAATTCAAAAAAAGGCTGCTTTGTAGTTTAGTTTCCATTTATGGACCTTATGGACTGTGGAGTGTACTGTACATCTTGAAATTTTAGCCGTGTTTATACAGTACATTAAACTTTTTCAGTTACAAAAAGTGAGGGAAATTCAGATTTCCATGATAGAGGCTCTTTAATATAGTCATAACTTAAAAAGTCTATGACCGTTTACTTATGACATAATGCTGTAACGCTGACGCTGGGCAGCTCTAGTGGACCGTACCAGAGATGACGGACTCGTTCCAGCTGTCCTGGTCACTGTAATACTCGTCCAGTCGCATGTTCTCTTTGTTCTCCTCCACTTCCCCACCCTGCTGCTCTCCCTCTGTGCTGGAGGTGCGTGACAGACGCCCGTCAGAGCGCCTCTTAGGGGAGCTGCGGACCTCTTTACCATGAAAACTGTGGCCGATAAACAAATAAACAAAAATAACCATTAAAACTCCAACTGTGACACAAACAAGCAATAGGAATAACAAGAGGGGGAGGGGCAAAATATCCCCAAAGTCAACATTTTTGCACTTAGAAACTGTATGTATGTCAACTTGGATGTCTAAGTGACTGTTGCCCCTTAGTCTTTCACAATTAACCACACCTGTGAAGTAAGCTGCACTCGCTCCACTTTTGGCTGAACTGCTTATAAACAGCAGACGCTGGAAAGAATGTTTGCATTTTAATGTGTAGCAGAGATGTGTAGGTTGCTACTATAGCAAACTATTCATCTCAGTCAAAACTAAAAAAAAAAATAATTTAGCAAAAAAAAAAATTGTCAGTTTGCTCTGCTCTCTCCTACTCATACTTTCACTTAAGCCAGGCGTACACTGTGCGATTTTAGCCCGATTTGGTCAGAGCCGACTGAATTCCATGATCGGGCCGAATTTGAGCTTCATCGGCCGTCGTTTGCCGTGCAGTTTGAAAGGGGAAATGATGCCCGATTAACTGCCCAAACGAGCTCTGCATCAGCAGTCGGACGATCGATGGATTTCTGATATGTCAGAAATGTTGGTCACTTGTCTCCCAGTCTGAGCAGCCTCACGAACCAATTTCTCAAAGTCGCACCCAAAACCACACACAGTCACAACCGCCGCTCCTACACGGAGACAAAGAAGTCCACACTTGCTGCACCAGCCGACTTTGCTCTGTTTGACTGAGTTGAATTGTGAGGTCTAAATAAATACAGTGTTTGTCAATGAATCTCAAATGGCCCACTACTTCCTATGTAGTGCACTAAGCTCTGGCTTCTTCACCAAAATAGTGCACTGTTTGGCCAGTATGGAACTGTGCACGCATGGCTGAATCTCAGAAGGCTATTTATTAGACATGTGATGCACTTTATGGGTGCAGGAGCAACTATTTTAATATGTGGTGCACTATGTAGGGAGCAGGGAGCCGTGTGAGATTCAGCCAGTGTTTTGATCAGGACATCGCAGGCGCAGCGTGTTGTTTTGAATGAAACAGATTTATTGTAGACAGATCAGCGTCTGTAGGGGCTGCGTTTCATGTGCAGTGTGAGCACCCATGTCGCGTCAGGTCAGTCAGACCGAGTGTTTTCGTACAGTGTGAGCACATAAATCGCAGGCTTTGGCCGAACACGAGGGGCGATTCAAACGTACAGTGTGAGTCACCAAAGAACAAGATTTCTAAAATCACAAAGTGTATGCCCAGCTTTAAGTACAGTTTCTTTATATTTTTTCCATTCCTGATTTTACAGCATGTATTTACAGCTTTTTACAGTGGCATGTCCCAAATCTTAATGCACCCATGACAATTAACAAACAATGCAGTCACAGACAAAAAGTTGGAACAAAAAGTCTAATTAAATGTATTGCTGATTTTCCACCTGAAAATAAGGTACGAAAAATAAGGAGAACAAACTTATATTTCACTTTTCTGCTAATTTTGGTGAACATTTCTACTTATTACACATTAGGAAAAAATTAAAAAATAAAACACAAAATGTGCCATAACTTTTGCCCGGGCCACGTTTTATGGTTTTGTTCATTTCAGGAAATAAACAGTGACTGTGCATTAAAATGTGTAGATATGTACTTATCTTTACCTAGAAAAACCAACAAAATGTGATTTGACCAGGGGCGCCCAAACTTTTGCACAGGACTGTATATTGTACAGTAATATGTGCTTTCATTTCATTTTCTCACATCGTGTTAACTGGGCCACACTAATCCCTCACCTGTCCTGGCGGTGTTTGGTGGCCAGAGCGCGGTGCAGTTCCTCTATGATGCAGCTGGGGGGCAGCGGTGGATGCATGTTGCCCAGGTGTGGGGAGCCTGTCGGGGTGGACATGCGTCCCCTCAGCGCGTCTTTGGGCAGAGTGAAGTTCCGGGGCAGGGTGGCTGGAGCGGGCCGCATCTGAATGGGATGAGAACCTGTGCGGTGAGGAAAAACAGTGGGATTTATGACGAATAATCTGGCAAAAACCAAAGCCAAGAAACTTTTGGTGTCTGAAAGTTGCTTCTTTAGTTATGTCTTGGGGATACAGGGCTAATGCAGCCAACAAGTAATGGAAGCTTAGATTCCCCCAAATAGCAATATAGTACGATCACACACAAGCAGACGTCTGACACTGTATGATAAACTGTTATCTATTAATTCATAAATTAAATACTATTAGATGTTGGCTAAGTCAGCCTTGAAGCTCCAGTGCAAAACTAAAAAACTACTATACATAATATACTATACATGCTTTAGCTGATCAACTGCATCTCTAAATGTGATACTATTGCTGAACTATCAATGAACTTAAAGGGGAACTCCATCGATTTTGCAAAATTAATTAAACATTTAATTGCAAATTAATGAAATGGGCCTTTCTAGAGAAATTTAGAGTCAAAATTGTTCACCATTGTTGTGCTAGGAACCAGACGTCCGTATGTCTCCGCTACACATATCACCATTTTATCTGCTCTCCAACATGAGCAGTGAACTTACGTGTCTTGTAAGTGTTCATGTGTCACACTGATAGTGGTAAAATACTGTGAAATTGAAGAAATGTGTTTTCTTTGAGCCGCAGGTTTACACACCCTCAGTTTCACTACAGCAGAAACTGGAATCAAGGTAAGAAACGTTCGTTAGTGAAATAAATTAGTCGCCGTTAGACACTGTGCAGATATCACTGTTAGCCGTTAGCTTAGAACAGACTGTCTAACGTGGGCCACACAAAAAATACAAAAACTATCTGCCTCACTATCCTGCCTCATAAACTGGTAAGCGGAGTAGCAAGTAGTTTGTTGTTGAGACCAGCACTTTCCACTCGCCCTGGGTTGCTCTGCTTCAGCACTGGCAGGTTCTCTCTCTCTCGTTCTCTCTCTCTCTCTCTCTCTCTCTCTCTCTCTCGTTCTCTCTCTCTCTCTCTCTCTCAACTCCTTTGTGTTTTCTGGTTCAAACTAAAATGGATCTACGACACTTTGGAAACAGACCTCCTCTAAGTCCTCTGTATACTCTGCCTTCTTCCAAAATAGGTATGAAAACTGTAAAACTAAACTGTAAACAAAAGCTGTTGCTGGCGTTAGCCGTGCTAAACAGCTGTAGCTACAGGCTAATAACAACAGAAGCACGTTAGGCTACACGCATTGATCTCAGTTGAGATGCGAATTTGAGAGGAAACATATAAGAAAATAATCCTGGAGTAAAATTTCATACTAAATATACGTTTTAGGCCAAAACTTTATAACAGAACTATCACAAAACAGTGTCTCAGGTATCAAACCATGCATTCATAACCATTTTGTGTAATAACTTAACGGGATGTAGCTTCTAGAGCCATTAAACGTGTCGGACGTCTGGTTCCTAGTACTATAATGGTGAACAATTCTGACTCTGTAAATTTCTCTGGAAAGGCGCATTTCACACCAAACCACTCTGAATGATTTTGTTCACATCTAAACCATTGAATGATTGAGTAATTTTGTAAAATCGGTGGAGTTCCCCTTTAAATCACTTTAAGCGTCCACAGTAATCCAGTACTGACTGTCCAGGCTGCCGAGTCGGGGCAGGAGCTTTGCGGGCAGTTTTGGGGGTGGCGTGCGGGTTTCTCTGCGCGGCGGCTCTGGCTTTAGCTCTTCTGGACTCTGAAGAACTTCAGCAGGGGGGGTGCTGCTGTCCTTGCTGGAAGGGTCAGAGAAAGAAGCCTCTTCATCCTGCTCTTCCTCGTTTCGACTGGGCTCCTCAGTGGGCTCAGGGTTCTCTGGGGCATCTTGCACTATAAACACAGGACCAAGGATGGATTAGAGCAGTGGTCACCAACCAAAGCAATGGCCTTCCTTACCTACCCTGTTCTCATATCTATTTATCGCCCTTCATTGAGCGATCAACCTTCATTGTTTAAATTCAGTCAAAATGGCCATTGAGTAGAATTTACTCACTGAATTTACTCAGAAAATTACACAAAAGCCTCAACAGCTGAACATAGTATCATTTTTCCGTATTTAGTGTGTTCACCTTTGCCTTTACCTTCCATTCTTCTCTGGAGACTTGCTTTCAGCTTTTTAAAGAAACCTACAGGGATATTTTTCCACACCTCACCTCAAGTTCAGTCTTAGAAGTTGGTTGCATTTTTTGCTTCTGACAATCCAAGTTATCCCAAACATAGTGAATTTCTGGACTCTGAGGTGGTGAGCGTATTGTTCTGAGAACATAAGCAGCTTCTTTGGTCCAATCCCATTTCTTCTTTTTACCCCTACCCCTTGTTTTCGAGTGTCACCCTAACCTCTTGGAACTGAGTTACAGGGTAGTGGTTGAAATCTTCCCTAATGAAATCAAATAAAAAGAACATTACTTCATTAACAGCTACTAGCGCTGCTCTGTAGGCGACCCTGCCAGTCTGCAGTGACAGCAGAGGAGGGTAAAGTTCAGCTCCTCACTGCTGGGCTTTAGTTACATTTAGGGCATCATATGCCTTCAAAGAGGGGGGCAATTATTTATTATCACCCACCCCTAATTCTTCAGTGATATGAAGCTGAAGTCAGACATTCTCCAGCTTCTTGTTCGAATTTCTCCGTTCCACCTTAAATGGTACAGCAGCTACATTCTGGCACTTCAGGTGTCAGAGCTGCTGGACTACTTAAGGTGGAACGGGAGAGTTAGCTAGCTAGCTACTGAGACATTAACATACTACTAGCGATTTTTATGCTTGTTATGAAGAAAACGACCATAATACACTGAAATGACATTAAACTAAGATAAAACAGTGGTTATTTTAATTTTTAAAGGAGAAAATTCTCACATTTGTGGGTTTCTTTGGTCTCTTGTTCAGCCATCTTACCATTTTTTCTTTTTTCCTCATAACACTCTGTTTGTAGTCTCTGAAAAACCTCCGTTTGGAGGGTCATGTAGCCCCAACACTTTGCCCTACCCCTCTATCTCAACCAGAATCAGGACACCCTACCGCTAGACGTGAACGCACAAAACAGAGGGCTAAGGGCTCAGTGGAAGGGGCTAGGGGTGAAACGGGAATGGGCCTTAGTTTAATAAGCATGTCTTGAACTTCTGTCTGCTTGGGGTCGTTATTAAATATTAACATTTAATAAACGAAAGGATGGAGTCAGTAGCCCACTGAAGCTTCTTCTGACAGCTTTTCTTTTTCAAACTACTAACATTCCCCACCATCTTATCTCAGGGATCTTTATTCTGAGATGATTTCCTGTGTTAATTTCTCTCGCTCTCTAAACCCTTCCTACTGTCATTCCACTGTGCAGTGCAGCCCAGAGGAGGACAGGTTCCTCTTCTGAGTCCTTTTCCCGGCACCATCTCCCTCAGGAGAGTTCAACAGAGAGCTGACTCCACATTTCAGGTAAGTTGGTTTGGGACAATACCCTATATGTACAGAAATCAATACCAAGTGCTTCCGTCTTGGCTGTATTAGCGCAGTGGTTCTCAGTCCTGGTCCTGGAATACCACTACTCTGCACATTTTAGAGTTTCCACTGCTTCACTGCAGGTTTGTGGTACTCCAGGACCAAAATTGAGAACTTCTGCATTGGTGGATTCTGTGATCTTTGTCACCACCTAGTGGTCACTGAAGAAAAGCCATTCTGGTTTTCTTTTACAGAACTGTGCAAACACATTCCTTTAATTTCCAATCAAAATGACCAACTAGTACAAGTTATTCTTTTTTCAGCATCATGAAAAAAGCAGAAAACACATTTAATTAAGTCTTCCTAAGTTCACTCACGTCACTCCACTGCTGTGCTCCCTTCACTGGCTTCCTTTAAAAACCCTGATGCCTACAAAGCCAAAAACGGACCAGCCCCTCCCTCCCTGATGGCAATGGTCAAAACTCGAACTGTACCTCGAGCCCTTCGAGCTTCAAGTACAGCTCAGCTTGACCCGCCATCCTTCAAGACGCGTGGAAGACAAGCATCAAGACTCTTCTCTGTCCTGGAGCCCTGGTGGTGGAACGAACTCCCACTGGGAGACTTCAAACGCAGACTGAAGACGCGTCTCTTTATACAGCACTTAAGTGAGCACTGAGTTAAGTACTTATTGTAATGTATTGTACTGCACTTATTGAAATGTATTGCACTGCGCTGTGTTTAATTCTGTTCCTTTTTCTCCAGGTATCAGCATGGGCTTTTGTCTCTAGCAGTATCTGAGCTCAGGACCAGCTTTCTCTCTAACTTAGCAAAGATTTTTTCTCTAAGTAGACAACAAAGCACTTTTTGTAAGTCGCTCTGGATAAGAGCGTCTGCTACATGCTGTAAATGTAAATATCATTTCCATTTTTTCATTTTGTGTGAGACAATCAGTCTTATAACCCTCAGAACCCTAAGCTCATGCTTTTTGGGCAGTTTGCTAGACTTCTTAAGTCAGGAAAGGGTTAACCTACAAACACTATACATAGGTATATCATGTCTGTAAGTTAACCCCTTCCTGACTTATGAAACCTTGGATAGAGCCATGCAAACTGCATGCAAAGTGCATGCTTAGGGTTCTCTAGGGCTTAGATATTTTTCCACACCTCCAAAGTTCAGTCTTAGAAGTTTCATTCTCTGCTTCTAACTATCCAAATGATTCTAAACACATTCAATGATGCTAAAGTCTGGTCTGCGGGGTGGTCAGTGCATTGTTCTGAGATCACCAGGGGCTTTTTTGTCTATGCCCTTTTTCAGTAACAGCTTCTTGACAGCTACACAGTAGCTGTGTCCCAACTCAGGGGCTGCATCTGAAGGCTTACTGCGTCACAGTGGGGCGACTGGGCCGTCCCATTTTGAAGCCTCCCTCATATGCGGCCGAGAAATGTGTTCCTCTTTTCCATGGCAATGAAAGATCTAACAGGTGGATCCTTCACCATCCAACATATCCTGAGGTTCACTGTGAGCCGACGAGGATTCGAGAACATGGTGGCGTCAGCAGAGGAGCGAATGGCGGCTGAAGAGACACTTTTAAATTACTGGGTTTAAACTGAGTCGAATAGCAAATGATACAGATATTAAAAAAAGCTGATCTCATCAGTAGCCGGCTGCGGAGTGCGCCTGTACCCCGGGCCCCGATGACGGCCGCAAGAGCTGGTGGGAAGGCGGGGCCCGAGCTCCAAAGCGGAGACCACGGGTAGAGAACAGTGAGCGAATGGGGGACAGCGGGCGAGTCCCGAGCCCCGCCTCGGAGAGAGGGATGAGCAGAAGCAAAAGGACTGAAGAGCTGGAAAGCCTAGTTTGAAAAGGACTGAAAAGTCTAACTAGCAGAGACTGAAAAGTAGGCAGCTTAGGTTTTTGTTGTGAGTTCTTTTGGTTGTTTGGTTTTGTTTTTGTTTCTTTGGTGTGCCACCCTGAATCCTGCCTCCAGCATCCTCCTTGAGCCCGGGGTAGCACATGACGTACTACATCGGTGGTGAAGCATCTCCAGCTCTAATAAACGAAAAAACCAAACAAAAATCAACGTTTCTGGCTCCGTCTTTAAAGAACTTTAAAAGAACTTGCAGCGGTAAGGTAAGGGCAAAGAGTTTCGGACCCATAGCGCTGAGATGTCCTCTGACAGTGGAAGGATGGACAGAAACACCTGTGGATGTTCTCAGATCTGAAGCCGCTTGATTTTCTGCTCTCTCTCAGAGATGAGCTTTAAGTGCTGTTTATCTGATGGGGCAGTTTTGCTGGTCTACCAGGTCTGCACGGTTCTTAGGAGTCCCATTTTCTTTCTATCTTGAAATCTTTTTCTGAACTGCCATCTTGGAAGCTCCTGTGTTCACTGATTTCCCCCTTGACTGACCTCTTTCTTATGCAACTAGATTATATTGTATCAAATGTCTGCAGAAATACCTCCAGTAATATGAATAACTTGGACTTAATAGCTGTTTTGACTGGGAATTAAATAAATGAAAGGTGGTCTCTGACTTTTTCCAGATATATAGTTTTTCTGCTTAAACCTGAAACTTTGCAAGAAAATAAACAACACTACTAATGTAAATGTAAGAGGAGTATAAGTAAAATAAAGCCTTACACAAGCGTTTCTTTTGATCTCTGGAAAACATCTGGAATATCGCTTAATATTTCAGTCTATATATTTATGTGACAATAAAAGGAAGTCCTGCCTGTGGAAGGAATGTCCTCATCAGGTTCCAGCTCTTCGGTGGCGTTGGCCAGCGGTGCCATGGGCTCATCCTCTCTCTCCTCCCCGTCTGAGTACTCCTGCGTGGGGGTACCTGGCTCCTCCGAGTTCCCTCCACAAGCCAGACCAGACCCTGCACACAATAACACAGAGTAAACTTTTTGATAAATGTTTTTTAGGACAAATATTTAGCATTAATTTTTATTCAAATGGACACATTTTTTTCCTTTGACCAAACGTAATCAGTCGATACGTTTTGCATCTATACAAGTTTGTTTCTTTAGTTTTGCACTGGAGCTACAAGGTCGATGTAGCTACCAAGCAATGGAAGCATATATTTATCAGTCATGCAAATTAGGCTGCGTTCACACAGCAGGTAAAAGTGGCCCAAATCTGATTTTCTCACCAAATCCATTTTTTTTGTTTGACTGTTCACATTATCTTTTAAATGTGAACAGATCAGCTCCTAAACTGACCCACATGAACAAAAGAACAGAGCATCACGCTGCTTCACGGCTCATTCAGAGGTAAACAATCACGACTGCCAACGAATGCCAGCCTCTCCCGGAGGATCAGCTTCATCTTCACCAGCATCACAGGAGCCATCATGAAGCTTCACTGACTGACAGCTGGGCTCTTCACCCAGAATGTGTTTGAGCTCACTGTAAAAAGGGCGTGGTCACTTTGGTTCGCGTCCTCGGATTCTTTCAACTTTACTTTCCGACTTTTCCTTGGCGCTGCAGCCTCGTTCTCCTACGGCCGCGTTCGGCAATTTCCTTCAAAATCTCTTCGAACACTGAGGGTTTTGGATGAGTCTCTTCTAATTTTCTAATACAGAAACATCAGCCTAAATGTTTATGAGTCTCAGTAGTGTGAAATTATGACGAATGTCGAGTTGGATTGATGTAAAAGTCGCATGAATTTGAAATCTTGCTGTTCAGACTGAGTCGTATTGCCGCAGATTGGATTTCAGCACCACATATCAAAGCGTCTCAAATCAAAATACAAAAGTCAAAATACGTTATTGGAGGAGCTGTTACCCCTTGTGTGGTGTTCAGGTCTGTGGGACCCATTTTCAATGTTTACCAAAAGAAAAAAAATGATGTGATTTATTATTATTTCAGCCTCAGATTTCTTGGTCTTTGCTCATTTTCTGAGAAGAACATATAAAATAACCCATTTTCAGTGTCTTCACTCTGTTCACCCCCCACACATTTATATTACACATGTGGTGTTGGGTGAACCCACGGGGAGTAAAAGTGTGGAGGTGCTGTGTCCTTCACTCTGTTCTCCTCCTACAGGGCCTGCTGTTAGTGTTTGCGTATGTGTGTGTGTGTGTGTGTGTGTGTGTGTGTGTGTGTGTGTGAGGGTGGACAACATGGACAGGCTGCTGACTGGTTACAGCTGCTAAAGGAGAACTCTACACGGGACACTTGATATTATACGTGATATTTTAAACATCTGGTATTTTTACATAAATTGTTAAGCGTCTCAAATCGGAAATTAAAACGTCAGATTAGTGTGAGGTGGAGGTCAGTCTTGACGCTGCAACAAAATCAGCTGTGTTTAATGTTATCATAAGTTTTAAGTCTTGGATCTTGCAAATAGTGACGTGGCAGGGGCACGAGAGAGAGCAAGTGGGCGAGCACACGCGTGCGGCACGATAGAGAGAGAGGGAGGGGGAGAGAGAGAGAGAGAGAGAGAGAGAGAGAGAGAGAGAATGCGTGAGCGCCTGAAATCTCTGTAAAAAAGGAAAAACTGCTCCACTTTAAAGGAATAATCATTATAACTAAACAACGTAAACTGACTGTTTTAATGTTATTAATATTTAATATTACTTAGTATAATAATATCGAGTGTAACAGTGATGTAAGGAAATGTGTAGAGGACTTTAAAATTGGCTTTATTGAAGAAGCATGAATCTTTTTTTTTTCCCTTTCTTTGCTTCCTGTTACAGCGGATTCTTATTTTTGTTTTGTTTTTTATGGTTTAATTCAATCAATGATGCTGAATCACTGCCTGTTTTGTTGATGTGTGAATCTTTATGCTAAATAATAAAGTAGCTGCACATTTTACAGGTCAATTATAAAAACACTGAGTGATGATCTGCCAGAATATACAGTTCTACAGTGAACTGAGCTAAATCCCAGATCTTTACACGCCCAGCCAAAGTGTCTTCCCCTCTGTACGTCTACAGAGTTGAGAGGTAAAAAGGTTTCTCTGCGTGTAAATTTCCACCAGGTGCATGATGGGAAATGATCTGAGAAATCTGGTTGCAGTCTTTCAAATAGTGACCCTGCAAGATCCCCAGTCTTTAGAATCACACTCTGTGACTAAAAACGGGGACATCGTCTTTAGATGTCTTTTCAAAGTCCTTTCAAAGTCTTCTAGTGTATGATTAGCATTAACCAGTTGCTAATAACGATATGATTCCAATGTCACTATGCATCCCTAACCTTTATTTAAAAGGCTAACAAGCAGTAGTAGCTTTATTAACCTTTTCAACTCCTTGGGACCACCGGTGGTTCCAAAACGCACTTCGTCATATTCTTCATAACTTTAATATTTCATAAGCTACATTCTAAAGATGGGGGTCACATGAGAGTCAAATAGATGGGTGATGTCATTTTAAACGCTTATAATAAAAGAAGCTGAACTCACAATTTTTTTGTCTACTGAAAGTCGACCCATTTTTCCACAAATCTGGGCTATAAACTATAAACAGATGGCGTCTCTTCAGTGATCTGCTCTGTACAAATTATTTTTATAAAATAATACAAAGAGCGTCTGAGATTTTTGGCTTTCAGCAGTAAATTGTAAGCATATAGAATTACGCATATGATCATAAAAACACGTTCTGTTAATTTGAGGGGAGTTTTTACAAAAAACCAAAACAAATTTACATTTATTTCATGCAGTTACTGAATAATTTGCTTTACGATTTAGGCATGTAAATTCAGATGGATAAACGAAAATGTACCCAGGAGAATAAGGGGTTAATTTGGCACTGCTTTGCTGAACTATCCCTTTAATGCCACCACGGTGATAACTGGCAAATTATTTACACAGAACTATTTATCAGAAAGGCCTGTCTGTGTTCTCTCAGGTGAGAGGCGGCTGAACTCTGCTGCTGTCATCACTCTCTCATAAAAGCCTAACAGCTCCCCCGGTGGTCTTACAGTGTGAAATGAGCTGGCTCCAGAACTCAGTATGCTGAACGGTGGTTGGTGAGTAAGGGCTGTGAGTTATGAGCACTCAGACTGCAGCGAGGAGGAGGAGGAGGAGGAGTGTTTGTATGGCTCTTTCTCACCTGTGCTGGTCTCCGCCAGGCCTTTTCTCAACAGCTCGTCACGAGGCTGTCGCGCCGCCACTTTTCTCTCCACACCTGCAGGGGGCATCACACGGGGTTAGATGGCAAAAAACACTAATTTTGCTTGTTTTTATGGTTGTTTATCCACTTAAACTGGGGTCTTATGGCCTAGCTAGCTAACTTTAGGCTCAACTGTGAATCACTTTTTACTGGGCTGCATAATTATGACAATGCTGCATGGCTAACCTGCTCCAGGACAGGTTAAGGGAACATAACCAGTTCTGGGACCAGTCAAGCTTCTGACCAATCACCTTCTGAAGTCATTATCATCTCACTTTTTATTTCTTTGTGACTTTGTGCATCAATCACATGAAATTTGACTTGTTTTCTATGAGTGCTATTAATGTATTATAGCCAATCGAATCTTCATGCTCTCCCCAAAGTTCTCCCCAGTCACTGCTTAGCAAGCATTGCTATCCACTACTGCTTCAATTCATAGTCAGCATGCCAGTGTTTGAGCTCCAGCTGCCGTCAACATACGTTATCGGAGGAACTTCTCCTCCTACATGGCCTGCTGTTAGTGTGTCTGTGTGTGTGTGTGTGTGTGTGTGTGTATGTGTGAGGGTGGACAACATGGACAGGCTGCTGACTGGCTACAGCTGCAAAAGGAGAACCCTACGCTGGACACTTGTGATATTTTAAACATCTGGTATTTTTACATAAATTGTTATGGCTGTATTGATCTAAAAAACAATGTGGTGGGTCCACCAGACCACTGAGTAACAAACACACCAACACCACACAAGGGGTAAAGTGAGATCTGTCCCAGATGAATTAGAGCATGTCGTTTTCTAACTGTTTCCAATGTCAAAAACTTTGGAACTTTAAAAAAATATGTTGTTGTCATCAGTGGTCTGCAAATTTGGTATTTACAGCGCTCTTTTACTAAAAAACTGAAAGGCAGTGCCAAAATGGTAAAGCAGACGTCTGCTTCAATGCACTGACTCATCAAAACAGGACATAAATGGTCTGTAAACATTTGTAATCATGACTGTATGCTTAACCTAGGATGATATGGTTTAGGTTAAGTTTGCTGTGTTGTTCTTCCTCGTCTTTCAACATTTCAGCTGCCTGATTTTAACTCGGTTATGTCGCCTTCACAGGACAGAAGTTGTGCATGCCGCGAGGGGATGCATACTTTATAGTGCAGGGCTTTGCAGTATTGGTTGTGTTTATGTGAATCCAGCATTCTGGCTGATGTGTACACAGTCTTGCATTCGTGAAACAAATTAACCATGCAGACACACGCACGCATGCGCACACACACACACACACACACACACACACACACACACACACATATCAGTCGATATCAATACATATCGCGATAAATGTGGAATCATTATTGCTTTTAGGTGTAAAGGCTGATTTTGCTCCTGGGTGGTTAATTACTGTTTTAAACTTTCGTTTATGGTCAGAACAAGACAAACACTCACCAAACAGTGGAACGTTTCACCAATCTGTCAGTGGACAGTAGGGAAAGTTCACAATTTTTGTAATAGTCATAATTTAATAAAGAAAAGAGATTATTTTAGCTGTTCGGTGACGAGTGCTAAACTGTTTAGTTCCTCAACAACGTCAGCTTAGTACGAACAGCAGACATCAGCTGACTCGGTTCATCAATAATGGATCACACCGCTTCACTGCCATCACTCCTACTGCATCCATGTCAACATATGGAATATACAGCGTGGAGTTTAGCAACGTTTCGGATGCTGCTAAAGTGTATTTGTTGACTCATTTCACTCCTTTATCATTTTCGCAGTACGAGTTTCCACAATAAACACATCGTTGCAATGACAGAACAGATCAAACTGAGTGCTTCACTGTGCTGACATTGAACACTGCTGCTCTCCCAGATTGGAGACAAGTAAGGTCATTTAACTAAACACCTAATTACAATGTTATTTAAAACAAGTTGTTTGATTAAGAATCACTGGGAAAAAATTGGGCCCTTGGAATCATCCGAATCGCCCCCAACTTTACGGCACCCCTGGAAATTTATGTGCTTTTTAACACAGCAAATCAAAAGCAGGATATTTATTCCTCGCTTTCTTTTCCCCACATGGTGGGAGTATTTTCCAACAAGCGCCCGAACCAAATGAAGCTGTATGCACCAGTTAACTATCTGGTATATACAACCTTCTGATGAGCTTCAGATGCTGCATTACACTATGTAAACTAACGTTAGTCATAACTACACTGTAAGAACTGGTCTGTCATTGCTTAAGTGATAGTGATAGAAAATAAATTCACTAGTTTTACTTAAGGCAAAAACTTACTTTGATTGAAAGAATGGTTCAATGTAGGGCTGGGCGAAAAAACGCTAACAATAATGATCACAATATAACTTTCCTCGATAGAAATATATGAAATTTTTGATAAATGTTTGATACAATAGAGCATTTTAACACTTCCACGTTCTAGCGACAGCCCTGGTGGTGTTTTCTACTGCAAGGAAAGCAACACCGCTCTGCTGTCGCCACAAGAGGGCGCACTTCCGAGTTTTTAGAGATGATTAGAGAGGGAAGGGTCAAGGAGTTAAATGAGTCGCCAAATATACTTTAGCAACGTCCATGCTAGATACAGCCCTGATTTAAACGAAAGTAAACTGAAGACACTGTGTGTCTGTGTGCCATTGGAGAGCGGGAGAACTCTAGCTTCTCAGGCTAGCTGTTTTTAGCAGCTGGCTAACTTGAAGCAGTGCTCTGTCACTCACACAGTACGGCGAACTGATGTTACTGTAGATCAAACAAGACAAAAAAGCACTGATTTCAGTTTAAATGTACCTAAAAGGAGGACTCAGTTTGTCTGGTGTGAGAGATTCACACTGCAGTTAATGCTTTTACACAGCGAGCGTCAGATATGTTGCGGTTCACCCCTCAAACTCTCAAACTACTGAGACAGAATAGAGAAATCCAGTCGTCGCTAGCTGCTGTCTGAATACTGTGATATGCTCTGATATGGATGTGGTGGAGTGACGGCAGTAAGGCTGTATGATCCATCACTGACGTACTGAGCCAGCTGATGTCTGCAGTTCGTACTAAGTTGATGTTTGACAAACTAAACAGTTTAGCGCTCGTCAGCAGACAGCTAAAAACAATGTTTTCTTTATTAAATTACGAATATTACAAAAACTGTGGCCGTGCTTTTCCAGCTGGTAAAAACAGCCAACCAGAAACTTTCTCCCACTGTCCCATGACAGATTTGTAAAACGTGCCATTGGTTTGTGAGTGTTTGTTGTGTTCAGACCATAAAAGATATTTTTAAGATAGTTTAAAACAGTAATTAACCACCCAGGAGCAAAAAAAAAAATCAGCCTTTAAACCTAAAGGAAATAATGATTTGACATTTATTGCGATATGTATTGAACGATATGAAATTTTTTATCACGATAACATTTTTGACCATATCGCCCAGCCCTAGTTCAAAGTACTTAGGTTAAATAAAACTAATTAATTTAGTCATTTTTAAGGTTTTAAGCTTTTTTCAGTGTAGAGTACTTTCCCTCCTTTCATGTACTGTCCGGTCAACAAGTGGGTCTACGCTGCAAGTGCACTGCGGATTTGCATGAAGCTGTTTTTCAGTTTGACAATAGCCTGCAGACTTTATTAATTATGACTATAATCAGTTAAAATCAATCCTCTTTTTCCAGTCAGGTTGCCGAATCACCACCTTCAGACTGCATTTCTACACCCCTTGTGTCAGCGCATTTGGAGTTCCCTCACCTGTAGAGCCTTGCCTTAACTTCTCATTTTTCTTTTTCCTCCACTTCCAGGGCTTGAAGATGCGGCCCAGGCTGGCCAGCTTGCTGTTGCGGCGGATGGGGGGCGTCCGGACCCCCGTCACCAGGCAACCGGAGTGAAGGGTCCTCTGCTGCTCCATAACATCTAGAAGAGGGAAACGGACTGAGTGAAAACCACAGCTACAGAAACCGCGAAAGGCAGAGCAGCGGGAACCTTTCTTTCGTAAGAAGCCCAGATGATGGTGAATGACAAGTGCCACATAAAAAAAACCTCTTTAAAAAGGAGTCATTAAATTAATCTCAGTATACTTGAGTGAAAACCACTCTACCCAGAGGATTCTCGCACAGAGGAGACATCATATCTGGGTCATCTCCCTGCGGCTACGCTTTTGTTGTAATTAACCCATTGGACTGAAATAGTCTTACCACAGAAACGACAGTGTCTTTGCAAGAATCAGCGAGCGTGCGCTGCTCAGAAGGAACCTGGGAGGAAAAAAAAAAAACTCGATCCTGCAAGCATGTGGATTCCTTAATCACCATCAGACTGGAGTGAAAGGCTCTTACTGTCTCACAGCCCTGCATGCTGACCGCTTCACAAAAGTGAACACCGTGATTTTCTCCCTTTCCGCCAGTGAAAGACTCTGTTCACTGGCCGGTGCAGAAGGGACGCATTGTGTCTGACTCACATGGCCCAGACAGACTCCTCCAGCGCATCTAAACAAACCAACCAACCACTTCAAATACATCGAAACACCACTTTATTTTAAAAAATAAATCAAATACACTCAATATATCAAACTGACACAGTCCCCCCCCCAACACTAATGTAATGAGCCAAGAAATGTTTGCCTCTTTAGTGTGCACTGGAGCCACGAGGCTAAAGCAGATAATAATATGACGTTATCTATAAAACTGGACAAAAGTATCGACAAAATTCAGGCTTTAATACGGCTAATATTGTTGTTTTGACTTTATGACATATTTTTGTCCACATATATGGGTCACTCTACAGAAATGTCCACTTTTCTATCTCTCCATAGGTGTCACTGGTGTTACTGATCCTCATTGGTGTTACACATAATAAAGGAACACCAGAGACGTTTTAAATGAACAATGCATTTTACAAAACGGCTGCTACAGAGCATCAAACCACATGTTGTCCATCATGGAATATCCACTAAAATATGTAATTTAATCCATTTGTATTCTATTTTTTCACAATTACCTCAGAATAAAGTCGGTCACACCAGTGACTTCAGCTAAGAGCTTCATATGAAATCATGAGCTAAATGAGAAAATCTCTGATAACTGAAAGACACAGTGGACTCACCATGTGCTTTTCTTCATAGATCTTCAGAAAACAGGTAAAAGGAAGTTGTGATGTCATCAGTGTGACTTTTATTTCAAAATATGAGACTTTTTGTTACGCAGTAACACCAGTGACACGACTCCTGGGGACCACAACTTTCATTATATATTTTATAATATTTATTTGATATTTGTTTTCTTTATGTTATTTAAATCATATATTTCATAGTCATGTATAGATTATTGCAGTTAAAATTGCAACATTTTTTACCTGAAAATATGGCCTCAGCCTTTACGCATGACTGTGAGGATGAGCTTTGGTGGTGCTTGGAATTCTATATGATTGATTTAAAAACCAATATTGCTGATTTGAGGCAGAAGAAGGTGTAATTCTTAAAATAACGTATTGTTTTCTTTTAAAATATTACAAAATTGTAACCCTAACATGTTTTTCAAGTGTAATATATCTGTAAATGCTAGGGACACAAAGTTGCATGTTTCTGTAGAATGACCCATATAACAGTATGTCATACAGTGTCACAAACCACATGAGCAAGTATGTTTGACTTTACTTAAATGAGATTTCTACAGATTTTCCGCACAAATAAGCGAATAAAGTATAAACAAACTCATTTAGGGTGGTCTGATGTGCTGATTTGGAGTGGTCTGATGACAGAAATGCTCCACTTTAGAGAAAATTACAGAGTCAAAACTGTTCACAGTGGGCGTGATAGGAACCAGACATCTGAAACGCTCACTGCCTTTAAAAGCTACATCACAGAAAGTTATTGTATGAGTTGATTATGAAACTACAGCCTGATGCTTTATGCATTGTTTTATAATAGATTTGAGACAATGTTTTGGCCTTATATCTTGTTTTTTAAACCCATTAATGGTGGAGAGATGCATGCAGGGCATTCTAAAGCCCCAAAGATGACGTTTTTCGGAATAAAACTATTTTACCTTCACCAACAATCCAGATCGCTGCTGTCGGAAGAAAACCTCATATCTCCAGTTTTGTCGTTTTTCAGTTTTTAACATAATGTGAAAGTACATGTTGTCCTCTACATTGTGTGTAAATTTCATAATGAATGGACCAAAAGAAACGACCCAAAATGACTTGGGAAAAAAGTCTGGTTCCATTGACTTACATTAGAAGTAAAGTAGGTTTTCTCCTTCTCCTCTAAAGTCACCATTTTGGAGATACGAGGTTTTCCGACAGCAGCTATATAAAAACCCTTGTGTGGCTTCACTTGATAGCAAATAAAAAGGCTATAATTGTGCAGACATTGGGATCCCTGGTTCCTATCACCACCACTGTAAAGAAAAAGAGTTGGTTTCTCTACAATAAACCATTCCACATCAAACCACCCAGAATGACTTTGATCTCAATAACTGAATTATAAGGTAATTTGGAAAACTCGCTGGAAATCCCCTTTAAATTTTGTTCAGCACAGTCTTTTTTGGTGTCTACTGTCCGTCCTCTAAATTTAACCTCAAGCGCTTCGTTCAGCCGGTTTGGCAACGCGTAGAAGAGGTCTTTTATTAAAACTTGGCAGGAAAAAATGGTGGAATTCTTCTTTAACAACTTGACACAGATTAAAGCAGGCGTGATTTACACATGCAGTTAGCATGACAGTAATTACTGGGACACAAGCTTCCAGTTCTTGTTAGCTACATTGCTAAAGAAGCAGACTTCAGACACTAAACATGTCTTGCTTGATCGACTGCATTTGGGGCAAAGATTTTGCTCCTAACTATTGCTTTTAAATTACTCCTCGAAACACGTCGGCTCTAATTTGGCCCTGGCCTTCGTATACAGAGCCTAAATCGCCCAAATCACTTTCCCAAGCCTCACTCAGAGATTATCCTAATCCATGTCGTTCGGCAGTCGTATGCGTCAGTCTGGAAGACAGACATCCGCCGGCTTGATCGCAGTCAAAAGACAGGCAGCTCTAGACTCTCGGGGGGCTTCTGAGACAGAGAAAGGATTGGGCCTTGTGAGCGAGCTGCACCACAGGACCCGGCACAGTGGATGGGGCGGGGTTGGGGGGGTGCTCAACAGCACTGCTGCACGAGGAGGCCTGGGAGGCAGCGAGGACAGAAATAGGCCCTCCCACGCAGTCTGACGGAGACACAGCACTGACACTTCAGGGACGGCGCAGATGAGCCGTGGGCTGCGCCACGAGCGCTGGGTTCTATCTCTGTCTCTGGCTCTGCATTAATGTCACACCTACTGGCTCGAAAAAACAACACCTGCTCAAACCTGATGATAGATGGAAACGTAAGAAAACACAGACCACTTTGCGAAAGCTGCAGGACTGTCTCTGACCTGGTCACAGCTATTAATGCAGTATTAGTTGTGCATTATGATATTAAGCATCGATGCTGTTTATTTTTAAAATATTCAGTTCATTATCTTAATCCATAACTGTAGGAAGATTACAGTTACAGCTGGACAGCATATCCTCACTGTCCAAACAAAGTATCTCCATTTTTGTTGATTTTTATTTTTCTACTGCATTTGAACACAGCAGCTGCGTTTACATTGTGTGAAAATTTCCTGGACCAATAGAAATGATCGAAAATCACTCGGAATAAAACCTCTTCACATTAACTTACATTAATAGTTAAGAGTGTTTTGCTCATTGTCCATTTTACACCCCCTTTTACCCTCTTCTTCAGTGGTCAGGACCCCCATGGACCCTCACAGAGCAGGTACTATTTGGGTGGTGGATCATTCTCAGCACTGCAGTAACACTGACGTGGTGGTGGTGTGTTAGTGTGTGTTGTGCTGGTCTGAGTGAATCAGACACAGCAGCGCTGCTGGAGTTTTTAAACACCTCAGTGTCACTGCTGGACTGAGAATAGTCCACCAACCAAAAATATCCAGCCAACAGCGTCCTGTGGGCAGCGTCCTGTGACCTGTGATGAAGGACTAGAGGATGACCAACACAAACTGTGGAGCAGCAGATGAGCTATCGTCTCTGACTTTACATCTACAAGGTGGACTGACAAGGTAGGAGTGTCTAATAAAGTGGACAGTGAGTGGACACAGTGTTTAAAAACTCCAGCAGCACTGCTGTGTCTGATCCACTCATACCAGCACAACACACACTAACACACCACCACCACGTCAGTGTTACTGCAGTGCTGAGAATGATCCACCACCCAAATAGTACCTGCTCTGTGAGGGTCCATGGGGGTCCTGACCACTGAAGAACAGGGTAAAAGGGGGCTAACAAAGTGTGCAGAGAAACAGATGGACTACAGTCTGTAACTGTAGAACTACAAAGTGCACCTATATAGTAAGTGGAGCTGATAAAATGGACAATGAGTGTAGAAACAAGGACATAATGGTCATAATGTTATGGCTGATCGGTGTACCTTCATGCAAAGTGAAAAGATGATGCTCCAAGGGTTCTTTAGTAAAGAAAATGGCTTTATATAGAACCATGAACACTCAAAGAACCCTTTGCATGATTAAAGGGTTCTGTGCATTGAGAAATGGTTCTTCAGATTGATGGAGAATGTGCTATAGATCAGGGTTTCTCAACCTGTGGGCCGCAGACCACCAGTGGGCCGTGAAGCACCCTCTAGTGGTCCGTGGGCCTGTACTGAGAGGGAGGCAGTAATTCGGGCTGATAACATTATTGTAAGTCATACAAACATAAGTGGAAAACTGATTAGCTTAATACTGAAAAATCTAAGAACTAAATGTTGTCGGAGTATAATCTATATAAATATTAATAGAGACGCATAAATAAAGACATCACGTTAGTGGGCTAAATTTTGGAAACCTACTGACAACCAGAAAGGCCAATCTGATTTTTTCAG